ATCCGACCAAAAAGAGATTGAACCTGCCCTAATAATAGGCCTCTACTTTATTCTGATCGCATTCATGTGCGCTTTCTGACTAACATGCAATCAATAGGATTATCCCTAAACCTGTTTATCTATGTTGGTTGAATTTAATGCACAAATAAACTATTATTGGCGATCACTTGAATTATAATCATATTTACCCTAAACAAGATTATTAATTATCTTATTAAGCGTGATTACAAGTACAAATTCCCTTTAAACATGCATAAAAGGCGTGATCAAACAATAACAATAAATATATCAAGCAACATAACAATAATCATGATAATAACCATCATAAAATTATAATCATAATTAACATAATAATGTTAAAGCATAATATTAATAGCAAGATCCTAGGCATGATACTAACAAGATTAATAACAAACCCTAGCATGTCACTAAACAATAAAAATCAAAGCTTTAACCCTAACATGATACTAACAATCATAAATATTAGGAAGATCATAAAAAGCATCACACTTTTAATCATACTTAATATTAAAGTTACCCTAGACATGATACTAGGAATATCATAATAACATCATAAGCATGATTTCTATCATAATATCAATTAAACAATTAAAGCACTTACTTGGATGCCTCGTATCTCTCTCTAATAACAAAATACACACATTAGTAACTTCAAGGAAAATAATAATTAAAACAATTAAATCAAATAATTGAAAGAGAGATTTGGGACCAAACCCTCAGAAATTAAACCTTTCACGTCTAGGGCGAAGGCAACTTCGAATATGGCTAGGTGTATCTAGATCTAATGAATGCGAAATTTTGTCTTTGAGAGCAGCTAGTTTAGAAAAGAGAGAGAGAAAGAGAGATTGTAGATTAGAATTGGTGAGAATTAGAAAGAATAAGAATTGATGATTGTAGGTGAAAAACTGATGAAAATTGATGATTCAAAACGGAGTTTTTACGACGTTATTTATAAAGAAAATCAGCCAAAAAGATAAAATATCAAAACAGAGTTCTAGCGCAGATAAGAATTAATTAGCGCCAACGCTGGCCATTGGCGCCAGACGCCAACATTAGCGCCAGGCGCCAATGCTAGCGCCAGGCGCTACAGCTGGCGTTTGGCGCTGATTCAGAAATTCACGCGTTTTCTTAAAATCAGATAAAAATTGCCGTACAGGAGGATAAAATCGTATTTTTCCTCAAAAATGCTCTTTGATTCAAACAAAAACTCTGAAAAGTCAACAAAAGTCAATTTATCAATGCTAATTAAATTAGGAATGAAAAGAACCTTCTAGAAGAATCTAGAAGACTAAAACCATTTCTAATTGCATTAGGAATGATAAATCTATATTAGGCCCTCCTCTAAATCATTGGGCCGCATATAAGGCTCAAACCGGGCCCAGTTCAGTAATTTGGCCATAACTTCCTCAATATTCATCGGAATTGGGCTTATAATATATCGTTGGAAAGGTCTTTTCAAGACCTATCCAACTACACTATTATTGAACCCATATCATGGACAAACCAAACTGGATTGGCTATTTTTCTTAAAATAAGTTTTCAAAAACAGAGAGAAGAGAAAAGAAATTAAAACTATCCGCAACACTAAACTTTCCACACTTTCACTTCATTCGATTATGATTCAACATGAAAGGTACTCATCACTGGGTTTGGTTTTGGGGAGACACAAATGGGTGTCTACAGTAATTGGCTTTTTAGTCAGCGAAAAAGCTGGCTTTTAAGCCAAAATGAAAAAGCTGCTTTGAGTAGCTTTTTTGTTGGCTTTTGGCTTGTTGGCCCACAAATTATCTAATAAACAGCCAACAACCAACAATTAATTTACCAAACACTTTTATAAACAACCAGCTTAAACAGCCAATTTCAAAAGTCATTATAAACAACCAAACATTCCAGCTGGTCAAACAAGCCAAGTGAACCGGCCAACAACCATTTTCCAAACAAGGCCATAATCTAGATCAACACTTTTTTTTGTTATTTTAGTCCAAGGTTACAAATAAATATTGTTGCGTTAGATTATTAAGTATAACATTTTTGTAAGTGTTGCAATCTTAAGTATTGTCTATTTTCACTTTCTTTGTAGTACGCTAATAGCTATAGTAGCACAAATTTTTTTATTAGGTGCATAATATATATCATAAATAAAACCCGAAAACTAAGATTCCTATTTAATACTTATCATTACAAAAATTGCCTTGGATAGCGTGCTTTGATTTGCATGCGGAAAAATGATTAATTAGAATTTTGGGGATTATTTTAATCCTTATAAAGAGAAAATTTTGAAATCAAATTTAGCAAAAAGTTACCAAAATTGCATCGATTTTGTGCAATAAAAAGTCATTGTTAAGGTTTTGAGGTCAATTTGGACCTTAACGTCCAAATTTGTGGTTATAATTAGCAAATTTAGTAATATAATATATAAAGATTTTGCTCTAGCATAATCTCCGGTGCTGGATTTTAATTATGACATTCCGTGCACTCAATGAATAAGTGTGTGCTGCCACAACTATTAGTCAAAATTCATGCTGCCATGTGCACCTTGTTAAAAATTCTTGCTGTTAAGAAGTTTTAAACAGATGAAATTGGGTGAATAGAACATACGGATTAATCTAAGTAAAATAAGGAGTGCAAAAAAAAAATAGCAAAAAAAAAAAAAAATTAAAATCCCATACACTTTATCAAAAGTTTGTGTTTCCAAGTCCAATTTCGCCTAAAAAAAAATTTTAAATAAATGAAAACCAGGTTTATTTTAGATTTAAATTTTTATATTAATTATAAAAATAAAATTAGCGCGTTTTCTGTGTGACTGGCCATATCGTATGCTGGCTAAGGCACACCAAATACAGGCAAAGTAAACCCTAATTTATCGAGTAACCCTTGACCAACCAAGTAACCCCTGACCACGTTAACCCAATCACATGGTGAGACCAGCCACATATAAACTTTGTGAAATTATATTATCTTTTTTATATTACGAAATTTATCTAAATATAAGAAACATAATTAATAATTCATTTTATAATAAAAAAATTCAAGTAGTAAGAAAGCGAATATCACAAAGTTTATTAGATAAATATATATTTAGTAAAATATTTTATTTGAAAAGATACAAACAAATTAATTGTGCATTATACGGGTTTATCAAGTATATTTTAAGTAAAAATAAAGAGCGGAAAAATAACATCTATTTTTTGAGCAAAGAAAAAATAAAATAGAATTTACAAAAAAAAATACTATACATAACCCTTATGGCTACATATAAGCATTAAATACACACTAGAAAATCGTATAAAGTTATGAAATCTTGAAAATATAAACACTAATTACACTGAATTACTCATGTTTTTGTTATGAATTCCAAATTTTATACAAAATTTAAAAATGTATATAATGTTTATACAAGCCCTTCACACTACATATAAAATTACCCAAAAAATAATTTCCTTTTAGTAAAATTTAATTGAATTAGCAAAAATATAGTAAAGAATGTTTCGAATATATATATATATATATATATATATATATATATATATATATACTTCCTCCGTTCTTTTTTACTTGACCCGCTTTGACTTTTACACTATTTACCACCTCTCCTTTGACCGTCTTTTGTGAATGATATGTAAGGAAAACTATATTCATATGATATCTTTTTTAATTCGTCTCAATAAGTACTATTGTAATATACAAATTTTATAATTTTTACTTATGAAGAATTAAAGTTATTGATAGCTAAAGTTTTGCATTGGCAAGCGTGATAAAAGAAACATGTCAAGTAAAAAAGAACAGAGAAAGTATATATATATATATATATAGGGATTTGCTAGAATGAGAAATAAGAAATGAGAAAAGAAATCTCCACCCTTAGATTTTAGTAACCACCAACGGCTCAGATTAGAACATTAAAAATTCACCCTTCTCTTTCATCCCCCTCCCACGTTTCTATTTCAGTTCCTTTTTTTTCAATAAGCTCTTCATTCTCCTTTAATTGATCAATTGACCAAAAAATTATGTGATCGGCTAAAACGACAAAAATTGCACCTTTACAATAGTATTATCTTGCTGCTTTGACCAACAATTTCAATCACAATTGAGGTATGGACTGGTATTTGTTTTTTTATTTTTTTTAATAATACCTAGACTTGATAATTGTTGGCTTGAAAAATTCTTGTTCGTTTGTTTGCATTTTTTTTTTATTAATATTAAATCAAGTGGTTAACTTGATAGTACATGATTTTGGGGTTTTCTTTGATTGATTATTGTCTTTGTGTGTTTATATGGAATAGGTACATACATTCAATTTTTATTCATTAATAAAAAATGCTTAAAATTTCATACTCTGTAGTATCTAACAATAGCACACCATTAATGTATTTTTTAATTACATCATCAATTATAATATCTTTTACTTATTTGATACATGCTTATTGTTACCCCTTATGAAGGCAATCAAGGCAATGGATAATGTCAGGCCATCACTAGGAATGATATTTAATAACTTAGATGAAGGAGCAGAATTTTACAAACGGTATGCACATAATATTGGTTTTAGCGTTAGGTCTTCGACAGAGGTGAAAGATAAGAAGACTGGTTTTGTTATATGGAAATATTTTTTGTGTTCTAAAGAAGGTTATAATCAACCTACAAATCAATCTATGAATGGGGGTAAATCTAAAAGGTTGAAAGAAACAAGAGAAGGGTGTGGTGCCAAAATCAAAATCAAGCGAACGGAAGAGGGTAAATATGAGATTAAGGAGTTTGTTGAGCACCATACCCATGCACTTGCAACTCCTACAAAGAGACACCTTTTGAGATCGGCAAGAAAGGTTAATTCTATGCATAAGGCTGTTTTATTCACATGTAGTCGAGCCAATATAGGACCTGCCAAAGCATATCAGTTGATTAAACATCAAGTTGGAGGATATGATAAAGTTGGATGTACGTAAAAAGACCTTCAAAATTATCAAACAGGACTTAAAATTATGATCAGTGATTATGATGCACAGATGTTTAAAGAGAATTTTGAAAGAAAAAAAGAACTTGATCCTTCTTGTTATTTTGCATATGAGGTAGATGATGAACATCGGTTAAAGTATTTTTTCTGGGCTGATGGCATTGGGAGAAAAAATTATGCCACTTTCGGTGATATTGTCTCTTTTGATACGACATATGGAACAAATAAATACACAATGATATTTGCTCAATTTACCGGAAGAAATCATCATCGACGATGCATTACATTTGGTGCTGCATTTTTGTGTGATAAGAAAACTGAATCCTTTACTTGGTTGTTTGAGAAGTTCTTAGAAGCAATGGGTGGTCATAAACCTAGATGCATAATCACCGATCAAGATCCAGCAATGAAAGCTGCAATAAAAAATATATTTGATACCTCTTCTCATCGATTTGCATGTGGCATATTTTAAAAAACGTTTCTGAGAAGGTAGGTGGAAGTCTTAATAGTAACGAGGATTTTCAAGATAAATTTAAATCATGTGTGTGGCAATCAGAGACTCCAGAGGAATTTGAGCATAGTTGGACACAAGTTGTTAATGAGTTTGAGCTCACAAAAAACGAGTGGTTCTCTTCTATGTACGAGATACGACACTCATGGATACCTGCATACTTCAAAGACTTGTTCTTGGCTGGTTTATTTAGAACAACTTCTATTTCTGAAAGTGAAAATTCAGTATTTGGTAGTCTTACAGATAAGTGGCTCAATTTGGTTGAATTTTGGGTTCGATATGAAAGTATTATCGACAGGCAGAGGCATAACCAAAAAAAATCTGATCATGACACATCACATTCACTTCCTATATTGAAGACAAATCATAGTATAGAAAAGCATGCAAGAGATATTTATACTCATGCAAATTTTTAAGTCTTTCAAAAGGAATTTTGGTGTTCTTGTATGTATTGTGGAGTTAAGGAGACCAAAGAGGAAAATGGAAGTATAATATTTGAAGTTCATGACAGTAATCCTTGGAAACCAAAGCAAAGAATTGTATCTTATAATACTTTGGACAATGTGGCTCATTGCTCATGTAAGTTATTTGAACAAGATGGCATTCCATGTCGTCATATTCTTTGTGTTTTCAAGGGCAGAGGAATTGATGCAATACCATCATATTATATTGTTCACAGATGGACTAAAAGTGCAACTTGTTCACTTATATTTGATATGGATACTGTTGTAGATGAAGGTTGTTCTCAAATTCAACTTGCTAATATAGAAATATCTTAGTTATGGAAAGATTTTCATGGTTATGCAGAATTGGTCGGTTATGATATTGATAAAATTCGTGTTTTAAGGAATGGGATCATAGATTTAAAAAAATCTTTGCTCGAGAGTACCAATGTTTGTGTAGATAACAAGACAAATGATTTGGAAGCATATGTGGAGTCTACCATTCCAGTGAAAATTGATATTCATCCACCAAAGCATTCAATAACTAAAGGAAGTGGCAAGAGAATTCCAAGTGGGAAAGAGAAGGCTATTAAAGATAAGCAAAAGCGACACAGACTCTGTAAATCATGTGGAAAATATGCACAACATGATAGTCGCAATTGCCCTATGAAAGAGGCTTGATTCTCTTCTTTGGTTAGTTATTCCTTATTAACAATATATAGGCACTTCAGACGGTGTTGGGTTTAATTTGGCTATTGAATGTTTGCAGAGTTATTCCATTTTTTGTCTCACATGGACATGTAATTGATTTTGTGATTGGGATTGAATGACAGATATATATTTATCTTGAATAATTATTATCTGCATTTCTATTTGGTTCAGCTCCATTTTTACATGCTCCATTGCTATATTGATTTCAGTATACAATTAATGCAATAATGCCAAAACTATAACTCAGGAAACAACAAATTACGACTAACTGATAACCCATGAGGGAATCGAACCCACAACCTTGTGAAAATGCACAATGCTCTACCGTTTGAGCTTATAGGTTTCACAAAATCATTTTTTGTTATCTAATAATATCCGAAAATTCAAATTATGAATGCAAAAAAAATGATACAGCCAAGAGTAACTCTGCCTATTACGTAGTATATATTTTAGATCTCAAAAAAAGGAGCTAATATGTTTCTTATTCCACTAATCATTAAACACAACAACCAATATATCAAGGCACTAGGCCACTAACCATTTCCAAGAGTATCATAGGTTTCGTAACAAATGAATCAATAAACACAAATTTTGGGTAAAAAAGACCAATTTTTAAAAACCATAATTAACAAATATTGTAGAATTTGTAAAATAAAAATCAAAAACTTTATTTAATTGCAGATCCCTGAAACTAAAATTATGATTGATCAAAAGCAATAAGAAACGTTTGATTGGAAATCCCAATAACTTTAATTGGGAACCCCAATAACTTTAATTGGGAACCCCTAAAAGTAAAATTGTGAAAAAAGGGGAAAAAACCGTCAAATTTACCTTGAATTGGTCTTCAGTCGGTGGGAGTTGTTGCTTGCATAAATTAAGAGCCAATGTAAATGAAAAAAAGATAAGTTTAAAGGAAACGGAAATAAGGGAAAGAGAAAAGAGAGGAGAGAGAAAGAAAGGAAACCAGCCATACATATGAAATAGAAACGTGGGAGGGGGATGAAAGAGAAGGGTGAATTTTTAATGTTCTAATCTGAGCCGTTGGTGGTTACTAAAATCTAAGGGTGGAGATTTCTTTTCTCATTTCTTATTTCTCATTCTAGCAAATCCCTATATATATATATATATATATATATATATATATAAAGAAAAACCAACACTATAACCCTTAAAAGCCAAATTGGTGAGAAAATGGTTTATGCTTTCCTATGCTTATGAACAGTGTCCTTCCCTTTTTACCCTTACAAAAGTCCCTTCAAAAAGTTTAATTACTCTTTTGTCCTTACTGTGGGTGTTCCTTGTACAGTTGCCACTTGCATGCTCAAGCTTTTCCTCTTTTTTTTTCCACGTGCGTGCTGATAGCTCCATTACAAGCCACGTTGTGTACACTCTTCTTTTATGGTGGATAGCTGCTGGAATTGCTCAAAGTTTTTCATCCTTCAACTACTAAATTGTAATTTTTTAGGCAAAAGTTCTTATTTTTTGTAGGCGTTGGAGTACTAATAATGATTGTACTATTGTAGTTGTTTATCTTAAATTTGTAAAATTTGTATTTTTTGGTAGTTTGAATTTTAAGTTACAAATTTATTGTACAATTATTGCTTGTAAGTTTAGGTTTATCCATTGAGTGGTGATTCGGTTTTAAGATTAGTTTGTACAAAAATAGAGCAAATTTTCACTTATTTTGGAGTACTAAGCTTGTGATTGGTTTATTTTCAATGTTTTGATAGTTGGATTGTAAAAATTGTTCGTTATTTTGGGTTCCCTTAGGATTTATTAGTTTGTTGGTCTTGGTAATTTTACTAATTTGAACTATGAAAATGTTTACAAATCTTGGAAATAAGCAATTGCTTGCTTTATGTCACAGTTGATAGCTTTGCTGCTTTTCTTAAGCACAAGGATTGAGTATCCCTAATGATGGAGCATCATCTTATTACCTGTTGGTTAAAAGCTAGAATTTTTTGGGTTTAGAATTATTTTGTTTTTTAGCTTAACTTGAATGTTACTGTGGTGTGTTTACTTAATGATGTATTATTGTATTTAAAAATTTCATGAATATTAGATTTGTTCAGATTAGTGTTCTATGTACATTTGGATTTCAATCTTAAGGAAAATCTAATCTAATTTGTGTCAAGATATATGTTCCATTTGCCTTATTATTATTTGCTTAATTTGAATTTAGACTACTATCATTGTTGGATATTAGTTGAATTTGAATTGCTTGTTGATGTAGATATACCTTGTTACCTACTGGGTAATAGGGCTGTCTGCTGGTTTCATATGTGTACTTCTGCACCCTTATGCGCATGCTTTAGATTACCTATGCAAAAATGCATTTGAGGGTATATGTGTTATTGTATTAATTTTGTGTAATCATGCTTAGCAAGTGGTTGTTGGGTGCAAAAGTTACATGTTACTTTCTATATAAAGGGAGCTGCTTCTCTTGGCGTTGCTCAGTAAAGGTAAGGGTTTCAACAATACAGAAAGAGAGCAAAATAACAAACAAAATCTCCAGTTGAGGTAGTGTTCAATTGCTTTATGTTTCTATTGCTTTGAATATTGGATCAATTTAGCCCCATTTACATTATATTAAACTTAAGTGTATGACTACTGTATTAAACTTGGATTGATGCTTTGGACATTGTACACATATATTCGTACCAAATTGAATGTATAATATGGACTGTTGCTTATCTTAGTTTGTATAAGAAAAATGCATTGCCCACCTCTAGCCATAACTAATGATCATGTAAATAGTTTTTGTTCGGTTAGATGGGTATTTTGGTTGGGTTTCTAGCAAAAGAATTGGATTTGTTGTCATAGTAATGCAACAAAGGTTCATATTTTGGTTATTCTGAAAATTTCTTTGCAAAAAGGGGGTGCTTGATAATTACAAAGTTTTTGCAACTTACATAATTTGGGATTTCTAAGTTTTTGTGGATTTTGGCTGTTTAAATGTGCCCTTTTGTGGTGCTGTTTTTTTAAAAATCAAGTCAAGCAATGGTGTTTTTGAGGTTTGCACTTTCTAACACTTTGGTCTAAAATGATTAATTTTTTAACCTTATAGAGTTGTCATTTTTGTTTATATGAATACTCAATTCGAGCAGATGTTATTGAGGTTGAAATTTTGTTATTGGATCATAGATTAGTGATGCTTGGTTTCTGTTGTGTTGGCAGGTGATCTGAACTAGGTGTGCTGCATTCCTTGTGTTGCATAGATTGCTGTAAGTCTGCATCTTCTGCTTGCTTACTGTTAATTGTTGTCTATACTTATAGAACCTGGTGTTTTTGTGTTTTCTTTTTGTTATTTATATATGCATTTTTATGTCTGTGCATGTGAATAGCTTGATGTTATTATGTTTGGCTATTGTTATTGAGTCCTGCAACACTGTATGTTGTTTTCTTTAGTTGTTAGTTGTCTAGGCACATATTTTGTTATTTGTGGTGATGGTTTTGTGTTAGACGATTATTTATTTTTGTCTTAATATACATGTGCTTGTTGTTGTTAGTTGAATCTGTTAGTTGTCAAGGCATGTATCCCTAAACTGCTGGCCTTACCCTCCAGTGTATACCCTTGTGTCTTATGGTTATTAGGAGGTTTTTGTTGGTTAGGGATGTAGTTTATTTTAAGATTAGCTGAGATGTTGGAGCTGCAATGTAAGGTTATCATTGGCTCTACCTGGCTCCTGCTGTAGACTGCCTTCTGATGTGATACATTAATCGTTCGCACAGGTGATGGGGTCAGAACCACTCAAAGTAGCCATTTCTTTCCAGAGCTTGCTCAACCAGGTTGTCGGGTTCTTGAGGTTACCTGCTCCAACCTACTCCCTTGCAGGTGATGATGGGAATGCTGTGAACCTAAAGTTGGTCATGAATTGTATCCTGTCACCTTACATCTTTGAAGGTGGTGTTGATGCTACACTGGATGCTTCTCGTGAAAATGCTGCAAAGCAAACTATTCGCTTCATGGAGCTCAGTATGGGCTGCATATCATTGACATTACTTCAGAGAATATCTACAAATTGGATCAATGTGCCTTCTTGTATGAAATGAAGCGCATTTCGTTGGAATCACTAAATAATCCCACAGTGAATGTTCGAACTAAATGGCCTGCGATCCCAGTCAAAAAACAAAGTGCCAACTGCATCACCCATTGACTACATTGATGTTCTCTGTGTCGTTGCAATGGCAACTAAGGCTAGGGTTTCTAGCATAGAAGCAGCTGAGCTTGCTGCGAATAAATGGGTGTCCTGGCTGACAATATATACTCCTTCCAGTGTTGGAATGGATTGCATTTGTAGCTCTTTGAATGGGACTTGTAAGGGTGCGAAGCAAGCTGCTGCAAGGAGAGGCGTGAAGTTTCTACGTGCTTTTTACAATGTGGACATAGTGGACCTGAATTATGGCAATGGTGTTTACTCTGGCATCAAATGCTCATTAGCTAGAGAAAGCTACATGACTATAAGGGAACGCGTTCTAGGCAAGCAAGGAGACCTGCATCTAGCTCCTTTCCTTGGTGAAGCTGACTATGTGACACCCAAGTCTGGTGGAAACAAGATCCCAAGTCCTGCATTGCTTCCAGCTGCCCCTCGCAAGCCAAAGGCTTCATCTTCTTTTAGTAACCGGCCTAGAGCACATCTTGCTTCGATCCCAAGTGATATATCTGTTCCAATCCCAGCTGACTTAGAAACAGTTTTTAAGCGTAGGAAGTTTTAAATAGGAGTTCTTGTATCCCTGACTTATCTAGAATACTAGGGTTATGCTGCTGCTTAAATATTTTGCGTTTCCAGGGTTTCTGATGTTTAAGTAGCTTTTATTGTCTTCTCTATGTTTTAGTTTATTACACTATGGGGTGTAATAGTTTCGTTTTCAGTAGCAATGTTCTATGTACTACATTATGTTTGTTTTAATTAAATGAAATTCTCGGTGTTATGTTTGGTATATATTTTGGTTGGCTTGTTGCTGCTTTTGAACTATCAGTTATTAGTTGTTTTCTATTCATGCTTAATTAGATTTACTAAGCATGAACCAACATTTTATTTGCAGGCCTTGCTCATATATGTTATTACTACAAGAAAGATTTTAGAAAGACGTGATAATTTAAATGAGTATGTACATTTCAACTAGGGGGTTGGAGAACTATTTTGGCTTTTTTTTTTAAAAAAAAAGAAATTGTTCACATTGGAGCATATTTTATATTAGGATTGATTTGCGCTTAACAATATTATGGCCAGTGCAATTGTCACTGATATTTAACTGCTTGGGCTTCCAGGTAAGGAACCTGGATATGCAGACTACGTTAGGAAACGTTCTAGAAAGCGTTCACGAGCAATTGATGCTCTTTCTGACCCAGTTTCAGCTAGGTTAGAATTTGTGTTCTAAACCTATCATCAGTATTATGTGCTATGAATTTATTTTGCTTAGAGGATTTGTCCTTGCATTTGTACATTTAGTGAGCTTGTCGAAATCAGTGCACAAATAGAGGCCCCAAAGCAAAATCTTCCAAAAAAATACAAAACAAACTAAGGGGAAAAACAAAGGTAACCAGGTAGCATTTTCTTATGTTTTAAGGTTTGCAAACACTTGTGGGTTTCTTAATAGAAGCAGGAACTACTACTTGTGGTACTTTACAAACAACAGCAAATCTTTCAGTAGATTATTCAGTAAGGTTGTGAAACCTTAAATATTGGAGTGCACTTATTTTTATTTTATAGTCGTGCTTACACTAACTTCTTTGTTTATCTGTGTGTATATAGTGAATATGGTGAAACCAGTGCACAGGGTGCGCTGAGAAACACTGTAAAAAAAAAGGGGGTTAAAGGCAACCAAAACAAACCTAAGCAAAAAAAAATTAGTAAGTATATCTTCAGTTCTTTTGCCTAAAATTTCTCAGTGTTAGTAGGAATATGATTTTAGTATCCTATTTTCTAGATGAACCAGCTGCTGCTATTGGTCAGCCCCTTCCATTGACCTCTTTACAGTTGGAAGCACCTCATTATTGTCTTAAATGTGGTGCTAAGAAATTTCAGTATGAATGGCTTCACTTTTGTTGTGGCAATTGGAGTACTAAAATTGCTACGAATAACATTCCTCCTGAGCTGCATCGGCTTTTCACATCTCAAGATGAAGACTCATTGCATTTCAAAAAATATGCTCGTATGTATAATAACTTGTTTGCATTTTGCTCGCTTGGAGGCAAAACAAATGCTAGCTCTGTGAAAGGGATCTTTGTTTTCTTATTACATGGCCAAATTTATCATCACTTGCCAGATTTACTGCCTGACAATGAAGTGCCTAAATACCTGCAGCTTTATTTTTATGATGCACATTATGAAGCTACGCGAAGGACAGAAATTTTCCCTGAAGTGAGGGAAGACATAGTAAACATTCTAATGCGTTTCATGAGTGTAAATCCATATGCTCGCTTTTTTAGATCCTTACGAGAACTCACAGTAACTGAGACTACACAAATAATCATTAACCAGAGCACAGTTCTAGATCAGTGTGTGTATAATGCACCTTCAACTGATGAAGTGGCTGCTATATGGCCAGAGAACGCGTCTTCCAGTGAATCTAACAGCCCATACATAGTTGTATCAGGGAGATCCACTGTGCCTCATCGAATATAACACTATTATGGATGTTATGATCCATTTCCTCTTTTATTTCCAAGTGGCGATTGTGGTTGGACACAGGGTCTTAGGAAGGATTATGCCAGTGCACAGAAAAAGGCTATGATGGATGTTAACCCTGTTTCTTCCTGTGTTGTTCATACTGAAGAGGACCTGTTGGCAGAGGAAGCAAAACGTACGTGCTCAATTATAGCTACTTCAAATTATGTTGTCTCGTACTCTTGCATGTCTAAATAGCTAAATTAATTTCCATTTTGTTGTCTGCATACAGGTGCAGCAGATAATTCAGGCACCACTAAAAGGCATATATCCCCTCGGGAATACTATGCCTACAAGATACATATAAGGCCAGGGAACATGCTACTTCGGGGAGGACGATGTTTTCAACAGTACATTGTGGATATGTATGTTAAAATTGAGAACACAAGGCTTGATTTTTTTAGGCGAAATCAGCAGACAATAAGAGCTGATTTGTACCAAGGTATTTTGGATACAGTTAAAGATGGAGAAACAAGTGTCAACAACATTGGTCATAGAGTGATATTGCCTCCAACCTTCATTGGTGGTCCACGAGATATGAAGCGAAGGTACTTAAATGCAATGGCTCTTGTGCAGCGCTTTGGCAAGCCTGGTTTGTTTGTAACGATGACGTGTAATGCCAAATGGCTTGAAATCACTGCTGAGCTAGCTCCTGGAGAAGTTGCATGTGATCGGCCAGACATTGTTGCTCGGATTTTCAGAGCAAAGCTAATAGCTCTGAAGAAAAAAATAATGGAAGACATAGTTTTTGGAAAAGTTGCAGCTATGGTCTATGTTGTGGAATTTCAAAAGAGAGGTCTACCTCATGCTCACTTTTTAATTATATTGGAAGATTCATACAAGCTAAAGGGGCCTTCTGATTATGACAAATTTGTAGCTGCAGAAATCCCTTCAACTGAATGTCCTCAGTTACGCAAAATTGTTCTTGGCCACATGATGCATGGTCCATGTGGTAGTTTAAATCCTAAATGTGCATGTATGAAAAAAAATCATGGCAATGAAGTTCTTTGTAAGTACAGCTACCCTAAGCCATATTTAGAGGAGACTACCACAAATGAAGATGGTTTTCCCATGTACAGAAGAAGGAACACTGGTGAGCATGTAAGAATTCGCGGTGCTAATCTTGATAACCGTTGGGTTATACCTTATAATCCATATTTATCTATGCTATTTGACTGCCATCTAAATGTAGAAGTCTGTTCAACTATTCAAGCAGTCAAATACCTGTACAAATATGTGTACAAAGGTCATGATCGTGTATATTTTAATGTTGTTGGTGAACAAAATCAAGTAGTTGATGAAATTGATGCTTTCCAAGCTGGTAGATGGGTTTCACCATGTGAGGCGGCTTAGAGAATATTTGGATTTGATCTCTTTGAGATGACTCCTTCTGTACAGCTCCTTCCAGTGCACCTACCAAATATGCAAACTATTGAGGAAAATTTATCAAGAATAAGCCAACCTTTGTCCGGTTCGCTCAAAATAAGCCAACCTTTCGATTAACTCAGAATAATCCAACCTTTATAGGGTATCCACTTTAAATGAGTCAAGTGACCTGCAACCGTTTATTAACCGGTTATTAATGTTAATTGTGACACGTGTCAGCATGTGGTTTGTCATTTTTCTTATAATAATTAATTAGGAATTATTATATAATTAATTAATAAAAAATCTAATAATTATAAATTTAAAAAAAAAAGAAAAGAAAAAAACCCCAACCCCAGCTCACCCCCCTCCCCTGCCAGGCCGCCGATGGCTAGCGACCACAAAATTCCCCGGCGCCGACACCGACGGCCTCTACCGCCCACCCATGATGCTCCCACCCAACCCCACTCCTTCCCCTTCCCCATTCACCTTTCCCCACCCCGACACGACACCACCCCCTCCCCTTCACCCCCTAACGGAAACAACCCCCCTCCCTCGTCTCCCTGTAGAAGTCGACCCCTCCTTCCCCTTCTTTACCATCTGTCGACCCCCCAAACTCTTTAACCCACCCTAACAAAACCCTAACAAAATCGGAATCAGGGTTCAAGGGTTTTGGGGTGTCGATTGACGGTGGGGAAGGGGAAGGACGGGGGTAACAGGGTGGGGAAAGGGGGATAGGGAAAGGGGAAAGGAAAGGGAAGGGAAAGGGTGGGGGCGTCGTGGGTGGGTGGAGAGGTCGTCGGTGCCGGCGCCGGGGAATTTGTGGTTGCCGACTACTGACGGCCTGGTAGGGGAGGGGGTGAGCTGGTAGGGGAGGGTGAGGGGGTTGGGGTTTTTTTCTTTTTTTTTTTATTTTTTTTGAAATTTATAATTATTAGTTTTTTTATAATTAATCATATAATATATCCTAATTAATTATTAATAGTAAAATGATGAATCATATTCTAACACGTGTCACAATTAACCTTAATAACCGGTTACAACAGATTTTGACTCATTTAAAGTTAATACCCTATAAAGGTTGGATTATTCTGAGTTAATCGAAAGGTTGACTTATTTTAAGCGAACCGGACAAAGGTTGGCTTATTTTTGACAAATTTTCCAACTATTTATATGAGGTCTCATGAGCAGCTTGGTTCTGTTGTGCAAGATGAAAAGAGAAGTACTACTGCTTTGCTAGAATTCTTTAGGCTAAATGCAAGCATCCCTGGAGGCACAGGGTATCGATACACTGAAATAATAGCACACTATAGGTGGGAAGCTAGCAAGAAAATATGGATTAGAAGAAGTTACAAAAAAAAAATGTTGGGCGAATGGCTTTTGTGAGCCCAGCAGAAGGAGAACGCTTCTTCTTACATTTATTGCTTGGTAAAGTTATTAGTCCTGTCTCATTTGATCATCTTAGAACTATAGATGGTGTGCTTTACCCTACCTTCCAGGAAGCTGCAATCAAGCTCGGGTTATTTCAACAAGACAGTGTAGTTACATTATGTTTGTAGGAAGCATCAGAAGCACAAATGCCTTCTGCACTGAGGCAGCTGTTTGTAACTCTATTGATCTTTTGCCAACCAAGTAACCCAAATGCTCTCTGGTTGCAGTTTTATACTTCACTCTCTGAAGATTTTGCATATCAAAATCCCAACCAGCAAGAAAAAGTGATGAGGCTAACTGTAAGAGACATTGAGAAAAACTTAGAAGCCACGGAAAAGTCATTGGAGGATTTTGGCCTAGGCCATTTGATTGAAGAAGACAGTAATGAAATACGCATCACAAAGTATATCGAAGATGCACTTGAAGCACCAATTCCTCCAGAATGCATTGATTGTCGAGAGAAACTCAACGAAGCTCAAGAAAATGCATTCAATAGCATAATGGCTTATGTCAATGAAGAGAAACCTGGTTGTTTTTTTGTTGATGGGCCAGGTGGGACAGGCAAGACATTTCTCTATAATGCTTTATATGCCGAAGTACGTTTGGCAGGTAAGATTCTGCTGCCAACAGCGACATCAGGCATCGCTGCTTCTAATATTCCATCTGGCAGATAAGCTCACTCGAGGTTTAAAATTTCACTTGATTCAGAGGTATCACTTGCTTGTGATTTCCCAAAGCAGGGAAGCTTAGCTGCTCAAATCAAAGCTGCTGCCCTGATAATTTGGGATGAAGCGTCTATGACTCGTAAAGAGAATATAGAATCATTGGTTTTGTTGTTGCGCGATCTCTGCCATCTTGATCAGCCATTTGGTGGAAAAGTAATTGTCTTTGGGGAAGATTTTAGACAATTTTTGCCTATTTTGCCCCGCCGTTCACAAAGAGAAGCTGTTGGTGTTAGTGTTGTCAGCTCTTACATTTGGCCCCTTTTAGTCAAATTTCGGTTAACAGAGAACATCAGAGCTAAGGAAGACTTAGTCTATTCAGCTTTTCTCTTAGCCTTGGGCAATGGCCAATTACAATCAGATGAAAGTGCTAATGTACAGCTACCTGAACACATAGTTCAGAATATAGTTGCAAATGAGGATTCAGTTTCTGTGCTAACTGCAATGATTTTCCCAGAAATTTCGAATCCAACATTTGATAGTGGCATATTCAATGAAAGAGCAATCCTCACACCAATGAATGAGGAAGTTGATTCCATAAATGACTACTTAATTAAATAGTTTCCTGGCACACCTACTGTTTATTTAAGCTACGATTCAATCCTTGATGATAATTGCAGCCTCTATCCAACAGAATTTCTGAACACACTTTTCCTAGGAGGGATGAGCCCGCATCAACTTGTGCTTAAGGTTAACAGTCCTGTAATTTTGTTGCGTAATCTGGCACCATCTAAGGGGATGTGTAATGGTACTCGCCTTATTTGTAGACACTTTCTTCCTAATTCAATTATTTGTGAAATAGCCAATGGCCATTATAAAGGAACATTTTATTTTGTTCCACGCGTGAACTTAAGGCCTTCAACTTCTTCCAAGTATCCTTTTCAGTTTGAACGGATACAATTTCCTCTTAAGCTCAGCTTTGCTATTACTATAAACAAGTCTCAGGGCCAGACTCTCAGTCGTGTTTTAGTATACCTCCCAAAGCCATGCTTCTCGCATGGTCAGCTGTATGTTGCTCTTTCACGTGAAAAAAAGTCTAAAGAAGTGACAGTGTATACAACTCAGCAATCTGATTCTGTCTCATCATCAGCTGTTCGAAACATCGTGTCCTATGAGGTTTTGAGGCTAGCCAATATGATCTAACTGGAGTGATTCTAAATAAGGTTGAATTTCTGGTATGCAATCTTTTTATATATATATATCTAGGGAAATTTGTCTACGAATTACCATATTATATAGAGATTTATATTTGTGTCTTTGTTCTGCAGTTGTTCTAGGCATTGGTGATGCATGCTTCTCATTTGGCACAGTGTAAAACACTTGCAGACTATGTGTTATAGCAGTAGTTCTTTTTGGCATGAACACACATTTGTCAGGCAAGTTTGTTTTGATTTCTTCCTTTGGTAGTCATTTTATAACAGCACTTTTTTCCCCTGTTCTTTACCATAGGAAGTACTATGAACATGTTGTTATATTTTGTAGCCTTTTTTGTATGCACAACAATACATTGTTTGCAATTAGTCTATATATGGCCTGACTATTTTGATATTTATAAATCAATTTTCATCTTCATATTACATATATTATTTAATTAGCATATAATGTGTAATATAAGACTACATATATTTAATAATAGGAGACTAATTTTTAAAAGAGATATATTTGATGATCTCCTAAAAAGCATCTTTAAAAAATGCCTTGTAAAAATTATATTAAACAAATATTAAAATAAAAAGGTTCAGTTTAAAAAAAAACTATTGTTACACTTCCAAGAATTAATAGAGAAGTTATCCAAAATTTTTTGCAATATTCATAAGTCCCAATAAAATTTCAGCAGTGAAATATCTATTGGTTAACCAAGTATCATCATGGTAAGTTTATTTCCACTGGACAATACACATTATGAATTCTCAGCCAATCAGGAGCCTTTTCCTCTTTAAAAAAATGTGAGTTCATGTGTTGTCCTTGTTCTATTTAAAAGAACCTTCTTCCTTCAACATGCTTATCTCATTTCTCTCTTAAAAAATAGTATCTCTGCAGCTGGCAGCTCATACTTTTCGATTGTTAAGGTATGTGCATTAATGTTCTTGTTTTTATTTCTTTACAGAATTTACTTCTTACATGTCTTCAATAAATAGCATGCCCTCATTAATGGTGTTAACTGTTATTACTTTATGAGTATCTTTGTTGCACTTCTTGTTATTATAGGACTTCTATATTTAGTTTCAAGAGATGTTTTTTTACCATAATTTGGTTAAGTTGCTAGCCTTGTTCTGTTTTCAGCTTTGAGCATGTTTTCTTTCATTTAATGTTGTGTTACAAGCCTATATCTAAGATTACTAACTTGCTAATACATAGTTCATATGGTTCTTATTACGAACCACATTTCTATCTTTCTAATAGTGTTTCCAACTCCTTTACTGTCAATTTATTTGATATTGACTAATAAAATTGCTACACTTATTTTAAAAAATGACACTTAATTATTACTGCTACATTCAACAAATTTAGTGTTGCTTAGGGTGTATTTTATTTATGTAAAAAAACATCAACTTCACTGTTAGTTTATGTAATACTTTCTGATTACATTATTCGGCTTATTTGTGAAACAAAAGCTTAATTATTACTGCTAATTCAGAAATTAAGTGCTTCTTAGGATGCATTTTACTTGCCTAAGAAAAAATACTAATACATCTAGAACCCTTTGCTTTTTGAATTCTGATTTTATATGTGTTACACATTTCACAAAAATATGTCATTTAGAGTTGATTACCCAAATTTTGTATAATTATTTGGCTAATGTTAAAGAACATGTTTCTTTGTTAAATTGCACAATATAACTTATATACCTTGATTTGTGAACAAAATATATCAACATTTTGGAACAATGTTCACCAATAATCTCAAGTTAAGTAATTCTATACAACCTATAAGATTGTTAAATGCTATGGAATAACCTTTTCTTGTATGTAAATGAACTAGATGAAACCTCAATATGTGCCTCTTGATAAGATAACTCCAAAAAACAAGAGGTACAAGATCAAGGTTAAGGTGAAGGAGAAGTCTCCTGCTAAATATCTAGAAGGCAAGAAAGCTTTCCAAAAGCTTGTATTTGAAGATGATGAGGTATATATAGTGCTTTGAATTTTGTTGTGTAGTTAACTAAAAAAATTAGACACGTTCTGATCCGTTTTAATGGTGTGTTGTTAGGGGAATGAAATGAGAGGAACTTTGTTTGAAGATGACATTGAGAACTTTAAGACTGTTTTGGAGCACCAGAAAGAATACATCATATCAGATGCACCAATCAGAAATACTAATCCCATGTTTCGTCACAAAGAAGGTGACTACTACCTGTCTTTTGGAGGTGCAACAGCAATTCAATCACTAAATCCCAATTCTAGTCCTATTGTGCCAAAATACACTCCCATTGCTGAAGTCCCACCTACAAGCAGTGAGGATGATCGCTATGGTAATATATATTATGTGATTTGGTATTTTTCTTTCTATTGCAGCTTACTCTTTAACCCTTATTATGTGGCTCATGTGTAATATTCTTGGAGTCATTGTGCATCTGGAAGACACACGCAAGAAGAAAAACAAGCAATGGTTATGAATTTGATGTACGAGACATTGTTGTTGTGGATGCCAGTGTGCAAAGGTTATTACACACTAACAGATACACTTAAGCAAATGAACTTATTTATGTGTTTTCTTTTAATAGTAATTTGATATATATGCAGGATGGCTGATGCTCTTGTTATTTTTGTGTATGGAGAGTTAGCTACTAAAGAGTGTTCCAAATTAGCTTCTTGGTATGAATCTTTCCTGGTGGTCAGTTTTCGACACTTGAAGGCAGCCACCCACGGAGGTTAATTCCTACTCAAAATGCTAGAATCATGTACCTTAACTATATTATGACTTATTTTTGTTTTCATTGCATAGGATTTTCCTTGGCATCTTCTATGTCCACAATAATTGATCCCGATCCAACAGGTCCTGAAGTTAGTGCACTTAAAGCTTGGTAAGTTCATATAATTTTTAAAGCTATTTTTCTTTCAAGATACTTGAGCATAATTTTTAAAACTTTTATGTTTTCAAAATGCTTGGGTAATGGTTGCAACTTTGTATGGGACAGGGTGCTGGAAAATGAAGATCGCCTTGCTGATCATGTGGCGCATCAACTGCAGTCCAAGGAAGCTAGCAGCTCAAATGTCCTGACTTCAGTTGCAGAACTTAAGAAGAAAACTGTAATGAAATCTTCATTATTTATACACATGAAGATTACATCGTATAAATATTACATTCGATGAATTATTCTGATGTTAATTTCTGCATTTGCAGCCTCTAACAACGACTGCACATGAGCGACACTGGCTCAAAATCACAATACCAACTGCACGGAAAGAGGATATTATTGCTTATGTTGGGTGCAGCGTTTGTGGTAACACTGTGACAATGTTGACGCAACTAAATTTTACTATGATAAGTGCAATGATACTTGCACTACAGAAAAGAGGTAGAATATCCTTTCACTAACATCATGAGTTGTATCCTGTTCAACTTCTAACTATACCTGACCTCTTACAGGGTCAGTATCACCTTCTATGCAACCGATGATACTGCAACTATTCGGTTGACTGCATATGGGAAGCAGTGTGAAAAGTTACTAGGCCTGAAAGAAGCAGAACTAATTGAAAAGAAGGTAAAAGCATTCAATATGTTGCTCTAAGTTAATTATTTATTGTCTACACTTTAAAGTAAACCAGACCACACCTTAAACAACTCTTTTCCTTTGTTATGCAAATATCAAGCTGGGATGGCTTTGACGAATTAGCTGCTGCACTTAAAGGAAAACCAGTGCAAGTTGAAGTTGGGCCAACAGGTGCAATCAAGAGGGTTGGCTACCTCAAGTGGGTTATCAAATCATTTGTTATGGAAGAACCCATGAATGTCAAATCAGTTGGTGCAAAAGAAGCTAAAGATGCCAAATCAGCTGCCGCAAAGGAAGTCATGCCTGCCAAAACAGCTGCTCCAAAAGAAGTCAAGAAAGCCAAATCAGTTGCTCCAAAAGAAGTCATGAATGCCAAGAACGAAGGCTTCTTGTAAGAACACGTTATATTGAACAAGAGTAGCTTGTCATTTTGAACGTGTTCTTGCTGGACACCTTTTAAAACAATTGTAAGTTCCTTTTGCACAAGTCACTGGTGATGATTTTGTACTCCTTAAATGCTCTGCCATGTGAACTTTTATATAATTTGTGTACTTAAGTAGCAACTAATGTATGGTTATCATGCCTAGCTTCAAAACTAATATCTTATGGCTGCACTTTTGTTATGCAAACATGATGACCAACTAATCTCATGTCAAGCATTTATTTATTTTATGTTCTGTATTCCTTAGTGATGGCTTATTTGGTATTGAGATGACCTTAAAATAGGCCAACCATGTTCTAATTAAGATATTCAGGAAATGCTGAATGATACCATGGTTTTAAATTAATTCATCAATTTTTTTCCAGGTTAGGAATCAATTTGCATAGCAAATCTAATTACATTTTG